TTATTGAATATTAGTGTGCACGCCAATTAATTACTAATACTATATTTATACTGTTATACATTAATTTAAACAAACAATTATGGAGATGTATAATAAACTAATTTTAACAGTAATAATAAAATATAAATTTTTTTTGTTAGTTTTGTAAATTATTAATATTTTTATTTTTATTTCATTATATAATTAGTTTTGTTTACATTTGATGGAAATTATTTGTCATATTATAAATATAAGAACTATTAATAGGTAATTATAAGTTAAATAATTATAAAATTATTACATACAAATATTTTATAAAGAATGAATTTTTACTTAATTTACATAATTTTTATAATATGGTTAGATATATGATAATTAAAGCTAGAATTTATATGCAATTGTATTATTCATTTCACAAATGTTTTCTAATTATTAAATGAAAAAAAAAGCTTCTTATAATTTCAAAATAAATTGAATTGAATTACTCTTTATATAAGCGTAATAATTTTTGTTAGTTTTATTTTTAAATAATTTCATAGTATTTTTATATATTTTTTGTGAAAGACAAAATTTTATTTATTTTATGAAATTTAAGTATACATTTTTTGTGCTTAAATTTAAAATGTGCAGAATAAAAAATAAATCATGTATATCAATATAAAAAGCAATTCTTTGACATAATAATTAAATTTGTAAAAAGATACTACAAAAAAAAAAAGCAACACAACAATGCATATAAATCATAGTTTTAATGTTATCAATTAGCATATTAATTTCTTTCATTTCAAATGTGTTAAATATCATATTTTTTTTTTACGTGCAATTTTATTTCTAAGTATAAGATTAATTAAAATTAGAACTCATTACTCATATACTGTTAAACTTATTTTGATCATATTTAATATTTCTCTAGGCTATTAAATATAAAATTCTACAGAAAACATGCTAATCTAATTTTATAAAAATATTTTAGAAATTCATTCTATTCAAAATTTTGTATTAATTAGGGATGGCATACTGTTAATATTCAGTAAGCCTTAAAAAAATTATATTCTTTTTCATTAATTATTTTACTTAAAATTTAATTCAAGTGAATTAAAAATTATTTTAATTGATTTTATTATTAAAATTTAATAGAGTGTAAAAAACATTGATATAAAATAAATTCGAGTTAATATATTATTAAATTGTTATATAATACTTTATAATAAAAACCTTGAATCATCACTGATTGAAAAAAATAGAACTTAAATATCATATCGTTGAGTTTGCCATTTTTAATATATTTAATAAGTATTAAGTAATAATAATAATTGTCAAAAACAACTTTTACTTTTAATATTTATTTATACATAATGTATTCACACACACACATACTCATACATATTTAGATATTAATATATATGTTTATAATTAATATAAGTTTATATTTTATTGTAATTATAATAATTTTTTTTTTTTTAATAGTTTGTATAACATTGTATCATTTAGGTTTAGTATGGATAAATTGGTTAAAACGTGGATACTTGTGGTTTTACCGAGCATTTTTTTCTAAAATGCCTTTAAAATTTTATAAATTAATTTAGATAACCTTTTAGGGATCTATAAATTTTTTTAAAAAAAAGTTATCACAATTAAAAACTTAATGTTGTTTTTAGGTATTGGATTTGGACTTATTTATTTGCCAGCTGTAGTATGTGTTGGATACTACTTTGAAACAAAAAGATCACTGGCCACTGGTATTGCTGTATGTGGTTCTGGTTTTGGTACATTTGCTTTTGCTCCTCTTGCCACTATGCTTCTCCAAAATTTTGATTGGAAAGTTTCAAATTTGATACTTGCTGGAATGATTCTATCATGTACCGTAAGTTTGTTCTTATATATCTGTTGAACTATGTTTAGTATTGTACTGTTTGTTAGATATATATGTAAATATTTAATTTTTATTTTAGTTATTCGGTGCTTTAATGAAGCCTCTAGAATATCCAAATGAAGGCTGTAAACCATTACTTCAAAGAATGGCAGATGAAAAGCGTATGCAAATGGAACGTGGATCGATAGGTGGATCATATTTCATTGTACAACTTAAAGATGGGTCATTAGAAAAAAGACAAAAGTTACCATTAAACATTGATCCTGGCGTTCATTCAAGTTTTAACTTGGATGAATTGGTAGGTGGCACTGGATCTCCCATGACACCGATACCAACCATGGCAGTCTTACCTACCATCAAAGAAGTGAAAGCTCCAGAACAGAGTGGATCTAGTAATAGTTCTAGCAATGCTGGAAGTGGAGATCTTAAATCTGATAAAAAAGACAATAAAGTAGAAAACTCAAAATCAGAAGTACCTGAACAAAATGGTGAAAAACCAAGCGAAACAAATGGAAATGGAGAGTTGGCTGAAGTGAAAGCTGCCATCCCAAGAAATGCTTCTCAACCCGCATTCACAACTCATGTTCAAGGTTTGCCAAAAAATGGTTCAGTGCCATTTTTTGACCGTATTCGCAAAACTAGTGCCAGTGAACGTTATCGACCTACTTTGGGACCAATAAAAGTGTCTCGACCTAATCTCAATTCAAATGGTGATATTCGTAAATCTATACATTTAAGATTATCAAATGTATCAATACTTGGTAGTAAAAATAATAACGCTGAAGATATGTGGTCAAATGTTAGTGTTTCAATATACCTTATTTATTTAACAATAATTAATGTACACTGTCTGCCAAGAGAAAATAATCACTCAAAAAATCACAAAAAATAATTATTAATTTAATTAATAATTCTTAACACAAAATACTTTTGTGTTAGAAATCAATCGATTAATTTCAGTTTCTGAGTGTTTAAATTCTCTTGGAAAATGGCATATAAATATTCATATGTAGATGTAAAATTAATTTATAGTTAAAAAAATTTAAAAATATTTTTATTTTTAATATTTATAGGTGGATACAGACAGTATTGGATACACTTCATCTAAAACAAGCATAAGAGGAAAAGAAACCGTGCGTCCAATGTCCAGAAAAGATATTTTTTATTCGGGTAGTGTTTTGAATTTGCCCGAATACCGATCACAAAAATCACTTGCCAGCTATCGCCAAAGTATTTTGTCTTTACCAAAATCCATGATGAAAGATAACGATAAAGATGATGATGAAGAAATAGATGGTCTGTTTGATATGAACTATTTATAAGTTGAAAGAACACAACTAAAATATTTATTATGTATTGCAGAAGGTTGCTGTCCATTTTTACCAGAATCTATTAACTCTGTATTGTCTTCGATGATGGACACAAGTTTACTTAAAGATCCTGTATTTATGATTATTGGCATTAGCAACGTGTTTGGCATGGCTGGACTCTATGTACCTTTTGTGTATTTAGTAGATGCTGCCAAAGAATCTGTAAGTTTTGATAGCCCATTAAAAAACAAAAAATAATTGACATAACCAAGGTTTTTTTTTTATTTAATTGTCTTTATTTGATAAACCTTTAGAGTTCAAGTATTGATTCAAGTCAAGCGTCATTCCTACTGTCCATTATTGGTATAACCAATACCATTGGACGTGTAGTCTGTGGTTTTGTTGCTGATTTCCCTTGGGTTGATTCCCTGTTCCTCAATAATATATGTTTATTAATTAGTACGGCTGCTGTTGCTGCAACACCTTTTTGTGTCACCTATACTCATTATGTTATAATGGCAATCTTTTTTGGAATTGCAGTCTGTGAGTATTAATAGACCAAAATGAAATCACATAATTTATGCAATTTAACCAAAATATATTTATTATATTCTAGCTGGCTACATATCATTAACATCCATTATTCTTGTGGATCTATTGGGTCTGGATAAGCTTACAAATGCTTTTGGTCTTTTGATATTATTCCGTGGAGCTGCTGCAATTATTGGATCACCATTGGCTGGCGCAGTATATGACTTCACAAAATCATATGACTGGCCATTTTTTATGGCTGCTGTATTCTTCCTGCTTTCGGCAATAACCAGTTTTATGGCAGCTCCATTAAAACGTTATTTGGACCAGAGACAGATGGCCCTGCCTCAAGACGATGATGATGCGCTGACACCAATCGATGAGGATGATGAAGAAGATGATGAAGAGGAAGACAACACACACCATCATCATCATCAGGTCCCCACTATCATTGAAACAGCTCCTACGCCAAATAAGCCACCATTGCAAGAAATAAAACAGATAGAGTCTGTGGTTTAAATTTTAATAAAACCTTAATTTTATTTTTTTTTACTTTAAAATATACGTCATCTAATTTTCTAAGCATTTACATTTACACAATTTTTTTTTTTCTATATTTAGCTATTCTCAAATAATAAACTATGAGAAATATTTTTAAATATGTAAATAATTGTTTTATTTCTTGATGATAAAAATATTTCTATATTAATTAACAATTATAAGTATACCCAAATGTAGATGAACATTATTGTGTAAATAATAATTAAGAAACGTTTGACTAATTTAAACATTGAATTATTCAATTATACAAGTATTTTTTTATTTTCTCTTAATGTACTTTAAAAAAATTATTTTACAATGAAAAAAATATGTCTAGAGTTATATATTTAAATTATAATTATTTTTAAGAGCGTAGGCACAACAGAATGCCACTTAAAACACATGTAGAAGCTGTGATAACTTCTTGATTTATATTTTTATCTAAGGGGCATTTAAGTTGATAGGAGACACTACATTTGTTTTAACAGGTTTTTAAAAACTTGCGCGTTTTACTATAAAATTAAACGTATACTTTTAATACATTTCAATTTGCTTTTGTAAATAATATAATAATTTTTAAAACCATATTATTTTAGTAAATAATTATATTTAATACAAAAAAGTACCAATTATTATTTTCATTATTGCATATATATATATTTTTTTTTTGTTTTCTAAATAGAATTTTGAAAGATGAAAACCACTATATATATTATTTATATATATATAAAAAAAAAAATTACAAAAATAAATAACTTATTGTGTATTTATTTTTCATTGCTTGTTCTGTGGTTTTTCTGGTTTTGATTTGAATTTCAAGTACAGCAAAAATATTCCTAGTGTTGCAAATGTAGCACAGGAAATCTATGTAATAGAATAATTGGAATTCCAAGTATGTCATTTGATCATAATTAATAATTTAAAATACTTATTTAAAGGTTATGTGACAGGTACATACAATATAAATTTTTTTTTAAATTTTAATTAACTTTAACTTATTTGATACCTAATGAATTAGATTCTTATTATATTTGAATAATTATTTTACTATTAACAGTATTAACCACAGATATTTATATTACATAATATAGATATCTATGTATTAAAAAATTTGTTTATAGTTTATTGAAAAAGTTAACTTTAACATATTTGTAAAAGTATTATTAAAATGAAAGCTCATTAAAACCAATTTTTATGTTACCATAGTAATTAGAAAACAATAAGTAATCGTCTATTTCCTTTTCGATTTGTAGTTGTGATTATATAACTACCTACACTTCATCCTTAATTGGGGCAGGGATAATAGTAACAATGACTGTGTATTAATAAAAAACGACGTAAAAATTTTGTGAGATGTAAAAATAAATATAAGGTATACTGAGAAGAATTTGTTTGAAATGACTGTTAGCCCCCTCTCTTTCAGTCCTTCCCTCTTAAGAAAATATTCACGTATTCTTATTTTAACATCAAAAAAAGAAAATCTTAAAACTTGTACGTTAAAAATGTTCTTGAAAAAACGCACTGCATACTGGTATACTTACATTCACTCGACCGTTTATGGTCGTTGTGTTGAAGTACTTATGGATCCCTGTTAGGTGTTTTTCTTCCGGAACATCGGTTGTCATTTTGTTTCAATTTGTAAGTAAATTCTCTTGTAATAATACTAAACAATATTACGATATTGGAAAAGGTTTTCTTATTTCTTTTCACTATAATAAATGCGATCAAAGACTCACAGTTGCGTTGTGGGATTTAATTCAAGTACGATTCACGATTTCGCAAGATCCTAAAAAATTGAATTATTGAAATGCAAGTTTAATCGAACAATTCAACAAAATATATATCGGATTAGTCGATTCACAATTACCATAGAGTACTATATTAATATTTTATAAATATAATGGTAATACTGTAATAGTACCTACCTGTAATACATCGTGCTTACTTGATACACCCTCAACGATGACCTAGTCTCGGTGTATTAACCACGGTTTTACCAATTTTTTTTTCACTATTTTTCGTTAAAGTAAATTAGTACTTACAATTCAGTGATGATTTTTTACAGTTGACGGTTGTATATTGAATACGAATTATTTACTTACATTTTTCATATTATGTCTTGTATTTGCTATTTCGGTATGTCTAGTATCTACAAGGTTATAGCTTATAAATATATATTAAATAAGTACGTATAATACGTAGAATGTAGAAAACAAGTCTCGTCAGCCCCATCGATAATAAAAATTAACATTTTATTACATTGTTTTTTGCGAATATATATACGTCAATACGTCATTTCTGTGAACATGCATTTCTATAGTTTTTAAAATTAAAAGACTCTTATTCCAGACATTTGTTCCAGTACTAAACCGGTATCCCAGGACTAAAGATAAGTAGATAACTTATAACCGGGTATAATTTTCTGTATCATATTACGTTTTGACATTTAGACTACCCTGAAGATGTTCTGTAGAAGTATAAACAGGAGTTTTATATTGGTTATTACATAAGAAATAAAGTTTATGAGTGTTATAACTAATAAGAGAGAGTATTATGACCTATAAAACAATGCTATTGCAAAATATTTAGTTTATCTATGTATTAATATTATGTAAAGTGTGGTGAAATATTATAAATGTGAATTTATAATATTTTTATTAAATGGTTAAATCTTATTACAAAATTATTAAAATGCTATTTTAGTATGTGAGATAATTTTTAGGTTACAACTGCATATTTATAAGTATGCACATAAGTACATATATAAACGTATAATATTCATATTATATATATAATAATAATAATATTGTGTTGTACTTCAATTTTTGATTAATAACACAAAATGGATTTGTTTGGAAAGTTTGAATTTAATTTTTATGCACAACAATAATAGTTATCTGCTAAAGTGCTAATGCTAAATACTAGAAAAACGAATTCGCGGTCGCATGGTATCTTTATTGTATACCCATTACGCCGTGTTATAATAATTTGTAACTGTACCTGATGAAATAGCCTATTTTAGTTTCATAATTTTTGGTAGAATTCGAAATACTGCGGGATACATATCAATTCTATACTTCAATGTATTATTATTATCAATCTTATATAATGGATCTAATAATGGCACGATTTATATTTTAAATATAATATATGTATATACCTAAACTATTACACCTGATAATGTAATTCATTTTAACTAGGTAATTATTAGCTTCTGTATTGTTTTTTTTTTTTTTTTTTTTTTAATCCAAGGTAAAAATAAATGAAATACAAATGAAAAACGAACGGAAATATTGTGCACGATACCGTGGTAATTCATTTATTATCATAATTATCAAACGAACATCAACGGGTCTCGGTCGACTTTCGAAACGTGAACGTTCAACTGTGGCATTTCCTCCAATAGTCGGCCGGCGAACACGTTCAAGTAGTTTCGCTCGGTGTTGCTGTGATTGGCCAGTACAACCGTTACCTTGTTGTGCACGGCGTCCAGCACATCGTGGTGAGACATCTCGCCGGTCAAGTACAAACCGGCGTCAACGCCGCGCAACACGGACGCCCCCGAACCGGCCACGGCAGCGGCCGAGTCGATCGTCGATTCTGTAAAACGCGCAGGTGACAAAAACACATAATATTATTATAATATACGAGAACATAATAAATTATGATATGAATTATTTCAATCGCTAAAAAAACTGAACATTTTGATGTTTTTATACATATAAGTAATACTATTACGTGTTCAACTATTACAATAATAGTTGAACAAGTATAGTTTTGTTTTTGAAAAAAAAAAAAATAATGTTAAATTTTCAATCCAAATCTTGATATTTGTGCTGATGTAATACTTTAAAATCAAAATGTGTTAAATTGGATTTAATTTAACACCATATACCAAAAATGACGAGAGTATTAAATCAAAATCAAATTACCATGATTAAATAACAAACATGTTTTAAACAAATTTTAATGATTGTAAATTGACTAAATAAATAAAACCCACATTATCTGGTAGGTACCATTTTTTGATAATAATCTGTAAAGTGTGAGTTGATTTGCATTAAATATGTCAGATTATACTCATACATCTTTTGTAATATTGTCGACCACGGATCCGAGGGGTTAAGGGACTTTGTTAATTTAAGATGTGTCATATTTTATTTTGGCATTTATACGTATAATATATTTATAATAATACGTAATTTGTGTTGTTATTGAACATTAAATTTCGATAAAATACGATTGAGAACATTATTTTTGGTATTATGATTGAGAACGCTCGAGTTTTTTATTTTTTCCGACGTGGCCAAATGTAATCAATAATCTGTTGATATATGTTGGACTTTTATCGGATTAGCCGGATATTAATAGTAACTTAAATACTAAATATGAGAGAATGATATAATAGTCAATTTTACAGCTCTCATCCAGCAATATATATATAGTTACTTAAGTTCTAATTGAAACTCAAATAGAAACAATATTGAAAATAGCTACAATACAGAATAACAAAAAAAGAAATACCAAAAAAAAAAAAAAAAAAAAAAAAAAAGGATAAAATACTTAAAATTCATAGTAAATATATGTGGTATGTGTGAAATAAAAATTCCAATAATTATTATTAAAATATTTAAAGTATGCGTTGGCTTAAACTATCCTACTATAACTGATATATAGGTAATTAAGTTTTCATTACAAAATATTATATTTATTTCATTTTTATACATATATATTTCATAATTTTATAAGTTCTGCAATTTTATATATTTTTTTTATACATATAATATATACTACACAGGTATTAGATATTTTTATAAGTTCTTCGTATTTTAAATTTTTTATTCATATTATATATTACATATTATTAGGCGTTTATTTGTATACGATTATAATTATTAATTTATGACTTTTTTCAAGAATATTTATTTTATGTATACTGAATTTTTCAAAAGCCAAATAAAGAATATAGCAACGTTGCACGTAAATTCGTTCTCAATCATATTATTTTTTGGATATTTTGGGTCAGCGGTAAGTTCTTTATTAATTTGAAGTGTTCACAATCGTTCGACCAAAAAGGTATAAAGTTCTCAATCGTTCAATAGCCTTAAAAACTGATACATCGTACAGAACATTTAGAATCCTTACAAATTTCAGATTTATAGAATTGTGACTATATATTCCTTATGGCCTATGGGTTACGATGCCTGTACACTATTGATTATATAAGTATTTAAGTACTTACATAAAATATGAAAAAGTATGTAAAAAAATTTGTGATTTACCTAATGTCGATCCTCTGGCTAACGCTATCATTAAATTATCGACACCCAAATGACATTTAATCTTTTCAATAGCAGCATTGATTGTCAACTCGTTTCTAAATTGACAATAACGACCGGCGCCCATATTAGATGACGGCAACTGAAAAAATTAATTTTGTTATTATTATTTATTTTTTATTTTGATTGTTCTCATACTGAAAAATAATATGCTAAGTATATATTCAATTTTTAATGATTAGAAAAACTAATTAAAACAAAAACTATATTTTTAAGTCCATATCTATTTGAGTTTCACGGGTTAAAGTAAATTTATTGAATATACAGTATTTAATGGCAAAATGTGCAAATATATTTTTAATATTTTAATTTATTTATTAGTTTTTAGTTTTTAGAACATACTTAGTCTTATTTTATATTATAAAAGACTGGCTGCATATTGCATTGTAACTTGCGTATAGAGGTATACTAACCGATTCATTTTTGTTTGCGTAAAAAAAAAGATTGCATTTTGAAGATTTGGCAACTTTATTTAGCGTCAATAAAGAACTCGAGTTGCATAACACTTGAAGTTGAGAATTATTGTAGTGTACAACTCTGTAAAAAAAAATATTCCACAAAATGTTAATCAATAACATAAATTCTTAGGTACCAGCATTGTAACACTAAAAACTGAATTGCTAATTTACTTGAAATGTTTGTCGGCTTGAAAGTCTGATGATTCCACAATAGCTTTGATTTCTATTCCACTTAATGGAGTATTATCGCTCAGTGACGCCGATAGAGTTACAACATGGCTAAATTCTGGATTTATGTTTAGCGGTTGTATTGTAGACACTGTACCATCTATGAAAATGTCATAACTCATTTAACTGATTTCGTTACGAAATAAATTCGCCATAGTAAAAATTCAATTATTCGATAGAAAAAAAAAACTGTATATTCTTACCAAAACAACTTATCAACCAATCAGTTAAGCCATTTTCCACAGCGTCCCACGAAGTATGAGGGGAATAAATGGCAATTCCTCGACTAAGACATCGACTAACGATACGACTCTACAAATAAACATGAAAAACATATAAAATACAGTAAGAACCTATCTATATGTGTCCGATTCTTTATATTCCATATTATCACCATGGCGAATAGATATAATTAAAAATGGCTGTTTTACCAGTTGTATATAAAAAAACGTTAGTTATTTAACTAATATATTTTAGTTTTAACTTAGTTTTATATGGTTTAAACGATAAACAAACATTTTTTTTTTATACTTTGAAATTTTCAACTTTTTTTTTATCGAAAATTTTATTACTGTAAGCAAATGTTAATGTAATTTTGTAGTATCGACTACAGTTTTTTCAATATGAATTCCTATTTTTAAAATATTTAATTAGAATTCGATAAAAAAAAAGTTCCCATTAATAAATTATGTTATTAATATTCTGCATTGATTTTTTTGTGTTATGTTTAGCAAAGAATTTTAATAATAACATATAAATAAAGTTAGATTTATCATATACATATATTATTTTTATATTAAAATATAATTTAAATTTGAATAAATAATAGTTAAAAATGGATATTTTTGTGATTTGCAGATTATCTAGTCAACTGTGAATTATTAAGCATATTATCTTACTATTCGTAATATACCTGCAGATACTTATAGTTGGTTACAACAAATATAGAATGATTATCGAAATACTTTTTAGAGTAAATGTGATGTAAAACACCCCAAACATGTTTAAAAACTATATTGATACATTTCTGCATCATAGGTATACTATACATACTCATATGTGTTTTGTAACGATATAGCAGTGTCCCCAAAATAAAAACAATCAAATTTAGTATGTTTAGATATCAAAATATACAAAAAATTTTACAAAATACGTTAAATAATAACTTTGAGTTCTTAAACATTGTAATACGACAATGAATTTTCATTAAAATAGTGTACACGACATAGCATAGCGAATTAGTTGCATTTTTTATCACCTCATTAGGAGCAGTAAATTACTCATCGAGGTAAGCCATTTTTTTTATAACGATAATTAACTAGTCATTTAGTCATAATGTTATTGAATTTCTAAAAATGTATACATTTACTAATCTTATTTTTGAACGAAAATTAAAATAAAAGCAAATATACGTACCTTCCAGGCGTCCGAAGTAATTCTTTTGAACGGAGCGAACACTGGTGGATGATAGGAAATGATGAGATCGGTGTCGACACTCACGGCTTCTTCAAGCACATCCTCGGTTAGATCGTTGGTAAGGAAAACGCGGCCGACGGGTTTTCGGACTTCCGGTTCCACCAATAAACCAACATTGTCCCAAGACTCAGCCAGAGACAACGGTGCCATCTTCTTCAATGTTGAGACGACTTCCGTCAGTGTCGCCATACTCCTTTGGTCGGTCGCGGAACAACGATTTATAGTCCTGCAAAGGTGACTTCCAGGACGTGACGCAGTTGCTGACGTTGCTGTAGAAAATTGTTATTTAAAAAATTGTAATTCATATGGACGTAACAAAATTTTCATTATTAATCGTTGACTTAGACTAAAAATATATTATATTAGAATCATTAGATACGCTGATGCATGCGATTCGATTAAAAAAAGTAATAGTTGGAAGAGGTACCTAACAAAAACTCTGCTGTATTTAGTGAGTAGGTATCGAGTGTATTTACCTCGTCGTTGAGTAAGTCACTTTATATAGGTATACACATGCACCCACTATTTGGATGCTGCGGTACGCAAACTCTCTATTACCTTTTCCACGAGGTGTGGATATGAATTAAACAGTACGTCATACAAACGTACATGTAAGTATAAATTTATATAACGTATATTATATGACAATATTTATTGCGAAATTTATTTTAGCGCCTAGCGGTAGCCAAACTTAAGAGCAGCGCAATCTTAATGAACGGAAAAAAGTCTTAATGCCCTATCATATACCCAATGTCGTAATTTTTTTTGAAGGAGGGAGGTTAGTCTCCCCAATGAAATTTTTATATAATTTTAAGAAATTCTGTATTATCTATTTGTCATAGATAATATAGAGTATTTAAAGTATTTTCAGTATCTATTTAACTCAAAAAATATTATTCATTTAGATTTTAGAACCCTAGATTATACCAAAATTAATTTAGTTACCGAAATTTTAAATTATCACATTATTGACCTGATAATGAATATTCAAACAGACACTATTGTAATAGTTTTAATAAATATTAATGGTATTTAATAAATTCTATAATTAGGCACCTATACATAATATAATAAACAGAGTATATGATATGTAAGTGAATAGAATAACAATATGATTAAAATAGTAGATAATGTATTTAATAATAAGATGAATACTGAACAATACAAATATTTTAATTTATAAGATGCATGTATCAGAGCATAAGTTTTCTTTTTGTAGGCTTTATAGACTAGGTTTTTCTGAAGTTGGGTAGAGTCTGCTCTATCAGTCCATGCTGCATTAACAGATATAGACTATGATAATTATTTGCCTTCAATTGTTTTAAAAATAATTCATACTTCCGGTTGGCAACCCACTTACACAATATTGTGATAAGCGATAACAATTATAAATTCATAAATGGACGGAGACATTCTTTGACTATACATGTGATTAACAGAATAAACAATGCATAAGACATATTTTTTTAAATAAAAGTTATAATATAGCTTAAAACTCGGTTGATCGGCGCTTTTCAACAATTACAGGAGCAGCCCAGTAACCTACTATAGACACACCTATAAATACAACTATAATAGTCTCTTATTGAGAAGTTCTATCAGGCTTAATAATAATTATAATACATATTTTTAGTCGTTTTTTAATTTTAATTTTTAAATAATTATCCCATATAACATACATTAAAAATATATTTTGAATTAAAATTACAATTTCTATACAATACAATGATATAATAACATTACAAAGATTAAAGTATTAAACAAAGTTAAATATTTTTAGGATAGTCTTATATTGATTCCATTTTCCAAATTTTTACCAACCCATCATCACTGCAAGATGCTAAAACACCTTTAACTACAGGATTCCACTGAACAGAATTTATATCCTGTAAATGAGCTTCACTCACATTTGAAATACATGAAAATGAAGGTTGATTACGGTCAGATAAATCTTCTTCTTTAAATATTCTTATAGAATTGTCACCACATGCCGTGGCAATTAGATCTGTCAAATGGCACCAAGTAACATCATAAATTGGTCTTGTATGAAATCCACTAATTGTGCATACACATTTGTACACAAAATTTCCATCTTTAACGGAAATTCCTTCAGGGTTTCCTGAAATAAAATATGATATTAAATTTATAATGTTTAAAACAATTAAAAAAAAATTTTTTTTTTATTTACCAGGGAGATATTTTTGCCATATCTTTAAAGTACGATCATCACTACTAGTCACAATTCGATCACCAGTCTTGTCAAATGCTAAACTCCAAACAGTTGATGTGTGTGAGCTTAAAGTACCCACACAAGTCCAATCTTTGTCTGATGCATCTTCCATATACAACTTAACACTGTTATCATAACTAGCAGATGCCAAAATATCTTCGTGAGGATGCCATACTACTTTCTTAACATCTTGTGAATGTGCATTTAAAACAGCTGCACATTCGTATTCATTATCCTCCCAAACTTCCCATACCCATACAGATTTATCACGGCTACAAGTCGCCAACATTGAGCCTGATCTAGACCATGCCACACTTTTAACTTCATTTTCATGACCTTCTAGTGTTGCATTACATTCAAACTGTCCAGATTTGTTATCCCAAATAGCTATGGTGGCATCAAAACTTGCTGATGCTAAACTTTGACCGCAATATGACCATGCAATTGCTCTGACAGTACGCTGATGACCATCAGCCAGTAAACACTTTAATGTACTTTTATCACCATCCTTAAAATTCCACAGTCTGATGGTTTTATCTTCGCCACAGGAAGCCAACATCTGTCCTTTTGGATGCCATGATGTATTCCATACGATACCAGAATGTCCTTTTAATGTACAAATAGCTTTTAATTTTCCAGTCATTTTAGAAAATTATTATTCTGCAAATAAAAATTTCAAAATATAATTTAATAAATATGACAGCTTTTAAAATATTAAAAATAATAATAAGAAGTTCTAAGACCTAATAAATTAATATATACTTATTGTTTTGTATTATATCTACACTAAATTCACTTATATTTAGATCTCAGATAAAATAAAGATTATTCATTTTGGACACTGTTATTTAAAATAAAAAAATGCAATTAACTTTTATGTTTATTATGACTGTCAATCTCACAATATAAAATGATTAATTTTTCAGTAAAAATTACATGAACAGATTAAGAACAAAATAATTTTTTTGTTTTCACTTAAAGATATTTTTCCAATGGCATGCATCTAACATGAATCTCAATAATGACCAAGTAATATGTAAAATTAATTACCTACATAAATTTTGGACTGATACAATAATTATTTCTGTTATAGATAAAATACTGAAAAATTATTATGTATATTACTATAAAATTGGTTTTTGAAATTAATACACATATTTTTTTTTTACATTTTAATTTAAATTGAATTTTCCAAAAAAACATATCCTATATATAATCAACGATATTATAAAAATAACAATGATAAGATTTTACATAGTAATTAGTTATGCAAGTTACAATAAATACATAATTTTCTAAATTTAATAAAAAATAAAAAAAATATGTATTCATTGAGTAGTGGTTATTTGTAATATTTTATAGTTAGTGCCTAGTATATATAATCAATGCTACCACATATTTGGAGACATACATGTTTTAATGATACTTTAGGGAATTTAAAGGCATATACGAAATGGACATGATTGGGCCTTACATCTGTTAAACATTTATGTCCCAATATTGTTGGTAGTATTTTTTCCCAGGCTTACATGATATGAATTCAGTCATTCATAATATATAAACAATATTGATAAACTTTATTCAAACTTGTGTATTGTGTATTTAATATCTATATCTAAAAAAAAAATTAAATTGGTGTTTTAATGTTTATGTTACACCCACATTTCATATATTTTTTTATATTATAAAAATAATTAAAACTAAGGCCAGGATTTTTATGCATTGCATATTCTTTATTTTTATAATATCTGATAATAATTGCTTTAGTTTGAAATGTCCAAAAATTACGTCATAATAAATAAAATGGTTAGTTATTTATTTTGCATGTTTTACATAAAATGTATATTATTGCAAATTTCCACAATAAACACCTAAAATGCATGACTTATGATGTATTTTAGTTGTGGTGATTGGTAAAATAGAAAATAAAATATTGTCAATCCAAAAAAATTAATAAAATAAATACTCAAATACCTTATTTAAATTGTCATAAATATATAACTGCTACAGATTATTTTACAATTATAGCATTTGAATGATGATAAAGTTGTTATTGTCATAAAATGTTGTTTATTTCAAGTGTGTTAAATATAATGTGTTGTTTGTGGATCTACTTAATTTTTACTTTCATTATTTAAAATACCAAGTATATTAAGGTATTTATGTATTTCATACTAAATTATTTAACACATGTATTTAACCTTCTAAAATTCTGTCCAAACTAGTAAAACTATTCTTTCTAAAATAACTGAGTTTGTGGATTATATATATATAAATTTGTAAATTTTTAATTTTTTTAGCGCGTAATCAATTTTATTTCATATAGCTTCCAAGTTGAATAAATAAATACATAATTCAATATCTTCAAACATAAACACATTGTGTAGATGGTTCACAATTAAATACTAAAATTACCTACTCAATTCTTATAATGTAATAATATATAGTAAAAAATACATTTTTACAATGCTTCATGATGATAGTACCTCCTTTATCTGGGTAATGCATTATAAAAGATATTTAAACAGATGCAAAATTGTTAAAAAATCAAAAATCAGTTTACATCATTTAGTAATTATAATTGGCACAAGAATAAGAAATTATAATTACAGTTTACCTTTAACAAAAGTGAAGCTTCTGTAGCTGTTTAATAGGCAACGGAGATTAAGTTTTGAGATCATAAATAATACAGTTGAAGACAAAACTTGAATTATTCGTAACGCGTTTATGACGTTAATTTAAAATTAAGTGTCAAAACGTTAAACCACAAATCCACAATATATAATACAATATTATATAATGAGATTCAGAGGTTCTCTTTACACATGTGAGTTTGTGATAACTGATCTTACATTATTATCATTGAGCAAATTAAATTTATCACATTATATATATGAATATTACGATAAATCAGTGTTGCCTCTACGACGCATCGCGCACACAATATTTTTGATTAATAATTATTGGCGCGACGTGCCATCGTTGATCCAGGATTAAGGAATTTGTATTTTCAAGAAACATACGAATTACGAATATATACGATCCATTTTTTTACTTGACCAATGACCAGTAAGCGAATTTTAATTTTCTAAAGTTGTCAAGGAAATAGTCTGCTATGAATTAGATAGCTGAAAGTAATTTAAAAAATGTAAGAGATCTCATTCTCATAGTCAAGTATCCACAAATTGGGCTCGTTTCCAATAATTCATCAATTATGTTTAAATTGGACAAAACACATGCTGCTACAAGATTACACATGATACATGATTATGTAAAAATATTCTTGAACAAGGTATTTATCATGCTATAATTTTAAAGAAAAAGAAAATAAGAAGAAAATTAAAATTAATTATGAATAGTTAAAATTAAAATGATAAAATGCCATTGTTTGAAGTAGTGCTGGTATAACATATTTAATATTTACTACAATTATTGGTTATGTATAAATGGTAACAATTAATAAGTTATTAATTATTATACCTTAATCAATTTTATTGAAATAACATACGTGTACCAAATGTATTATAATTTAAAACATTTAATGTAATAATTGTGTAAAATACACATTACACATGCATAAAACACAAGATTAATATTTCAAACAATATAATATTATATTATTTTTAACAGCCAAAAATCAAAATATTAACTTTATATCATTTATTATAATAAAAACACATTTTATATAAGCCACTTGCTAGAGGAAGATAGCGAGTTTCAGGTTTAAACAAATCGTATTAATCAGTTCAATTAACAAGTCAAAAATTGTTAAAATATTTAAAATAAAAACTAACATTATTAAGTCTCAAAAATAATGTCTAACATTGATATTTTGAAATAAAAAAAATAATTATAAATAAATAATAAATTCCTACTTAATAATATTGTAGACATAATATATTTCTATTAATGAAAATACAATGAAAAACAAAAATGGAAGTAATGTATAAAATGGAAAACGACATTTCAAAATGAAATTACTAGGAACAATCTACAATGTACTAAACACATGTTTTGCTTAAAGTGGATTATTTGAAAAATAAAGTAATAATTTTGAAAATATTTTATTACTGGTAAATTATTTTAATTGTTCAACGAAAATTAAAATAAGAATATAAGTAACACGTTACAATATTTCAACATTGTGAGACAATAAAAAATGATAAAAATTAAAGCGTTTGGTATAAGTTTAGTCTTACATTGAAAAAAAGGCAAACAATAGCAATGTAATAATAATTCACTTTAGAAAACAATTAGGATTTAGGTATTAGTAACAAGAATAGATTATAACTTAAATGAACATGATATATACAAACAATAAATTTACTAAACAAAATGTCTAAGTATAACCAAGAGTAAAATACAATTTAATGTTAGAATTTTACAGAAATTTCATATCATTGAGCAGAATTATGTATATTGTAAAGTATAATATTTAATAACATTTTGAATGCACAATAATTAGAAAATTAGAGTGTTTTTGAGCTTTAGAAATAAAAGTTACAGTAAAAAGGCACTTGACAAGTTCTATTATTGTCGCTTTTACAAAATAACAATTTTATTCAATAACATAATTTTAAGACAATATTAATAGCAATTATTCGGCAATATACAATGATTTTGAGTATGTTAATAGAGTATTTAGTTTTTTAATAAACAAATTATAAATTGTAAAATAGCATAACCACTTATATTAAAATTAAAAAATATGAAACACATTTAATTAATAAAATAATTGTAAACAAACGTTAAAGCTAAATTTTTCATTCTCTATTAAATAAAAACAATTTGAAAAAAAATTAACGTTAATCAACAGACAATAAAAATAAAAATGTATCACACGGTAAAATAGAAACCACAAATTAATTAATAGTTATACATAATTCACTGAGTTAGTAATATTGAATTTAACATAATATAATTTTTGTAACCATATTTGATTTGATTATAAATATATTAAATAATATTTGTGCTGTAAAATCCGCCACAAAGAACTTTATAGCGTATTCATATAAACAAATTTAATTATAAACTAAAACAAATTTTTAAGTTATTTCTACAAATTATTTACATTAATTCTGAATAACAGACTTTAACAATGTTAAGTGATGTAAAAAATAAAAATGGAGTAACTATCTACCATAAGTATACAATTGATGTCTATTATTAAACATTTAACCCTGGCTCTGATAGTCTTTAATCCATATGAGAAAACATTATTGGTGTAAAATCACATGTATGCTTAAGTTGTATATTTTATAGTAAAAAAAAATATACTATGTTTTGGTTATAGCTGAATTACCCTGTACTTTTTAATATTCGTAAATATTTATCTATTCTTTTAATATTGCTTATAGACTATACTTTTCTTAATTTATTTAACTTATAGAATGGCACCAAATTATTTAAATAAAACAATGTAAAAATTTGTTAAAAAAACAGTCTTTGACAATATTAATTACACTAATATCTATTAAAATCATATTAAATGAAAAACAAATTTTTACCAATATATTAGAAAATGGTTACAAAATTCTGAAAAATATTTAACTGTGCAGTTAATACATTGTAATATTAAAATATATTACTTTAAGTTAAGAAATTTAATGTTTGTGTCTAAATATTTAAAATTTTTTTTAATATTTCAAGATAAATAATAAATTTAATAATAATTGATATGTATATCATAACATATTGTATTAAAATATGGATCATTTAATTTTAATTAAGAGTACTCACATATGTAAATAGTTTAAAAAAAATATGAATTAAATTTTAAATAATAATAGGTAGTTACTTTATTTTTAAAGAAACTAATTAGAACAATAAGTCAAGGGTAAAGAAACAAAGATACTTTTTGAAATAATTTTTTAGGGAAATTAATATTAGAAAATGTAGTATTCATTTGAAAAGTGTAAATTTAAAAAATATAAAATATACTAAGTTTGCCTAGGATTAGAAAATTAAGCTAGCACACAGAACGCAAAATTAATTTAACATCTAGATACTTTTTTAGTATTTTAATTATTATTTTTTAACTAAAAAATTGGATCTTTTTACTCAGCAAATTATTGTTTCATTTAAAAATTAAATTAGTACCAGATATCATTAAAAGAATTGCTATGAACAAAATTTAAAAATTAACTTTTTCAAATTTAACAATAGTCATGTCATAGAATAATTGACATAAATTACCATGTATATAATATTAAACGGTGGGTTTAGCACTAAGCTAACATTTGTACTTATCAATCGATTTAATTTGTAGGCCATATACTTGGCAAAGGTGGACATATTGGGTTGTTGTAAGCTGTATACTCAACAATCTGTTGTATAATGGATGGAAAAGCAATAAATCCATACATCTGTCTCCACTGTAGTTCGTATAGATGTTGTTCAGCATGTGTTGTAGACATATCTTGTAATTGAATACAGGCTTCCACAGTGGTTGCCCATATAGTTTCTAAACAGTAAACCATTCTTAAGTATCTAGTGGTTCAATGAAATTTACTCACAATGTACAAACCTAAATTTTTTAAAGATTTGTGATCATGGTTAATGTCTAAATTCATCAATGCTTCTGTGCTTATGACTTCTCCTATTCCAGGTAAATTGTGCAATAATGGATACAACATTTCATTTGTCACAATAGTTGAACCCAGCATTACATGATTTTTGACCATTTCTACAATTTTAGAATTCTCCTAGATTCAATAAATTGTATACATTTTAAGAGATATTATTAATTGAATAAGTATAAATTAAAATGTTTTTACTTTATTAGATCCATCTAGAAGGCTTGCCCACACACGAACAGGAACGTGAGCCGTATCAGCAATGCACAACACTCTTTTGGAAAAGTTATTATTATGGGACGTGGTTGGTACTTCTAAACTCATGTTGCCATCTGGAAACACATCTACGATGACTACAACATCAGTGCCACCCAGCTTGAAGTCGCCGACAATTTTTTTCAAATGCCATTCGGCCACTTGAGCACATCCATTATAAATACGTTTAGCCACATTTACTTTGGTTCTACCTTCTCCACTGACATCACTGAGCGGCATATTCTTACACCAACCTGTGAAAAAAAAAAAACCACCAGTGTTGAGCGTGTTTAACGTACATTGTCGCCAATACTATACAACTAACTGACGATTATCACTTACTGTCAATGATTTTCAAAGCATAACCCAGTTCACATTTAAAGTCGGCGAAGAAAGATGCGTGCCTAGCTGGCACCTTCTTCTTGCACTCCAGGCACACCCAATTGAACTTGTCGACAACGCGTGCGCGATGCCATTGCATTTTTTCTGTGGTCAGACACTCGTTGTTCGGGCACTTCTGTTCCTTGGCTATTAGTCCGTTTTTCTTAAGCCATTCACATAGGTCGCCCTCGCGGCCGGCCGCGAGCAGCGGTTCTACAGTGGTCTCGAAAAAGTTTGGATCACTGCAAACACCCGGCATGGTGGACGGCACGACACGACTGTACAATAATTTGTCGCCGCTCACGCGCGTACGACTACCATAGGGGTGGTTATTTAATAATAATTAAACAGTAATGTATTATTTTATCGTTTCGACGATGATACGGGTCCGATCGATAATCGAGTCCCTCTGCACGAACGATCACGTCGTACACGGGCAGTTAATACTTAAGTAATAAAATAATAATAATATGTTATTTGGTGGTCGCGTACTCACTCGCTTATGTCTGGAGGCATCGTTAATACTTCTGCCCGTGGAGTGTCTAGGTCAGTTGTCAGTCGCGTGTTCGTCAGATTGCTCGACGGGTTGTGCGGGGGCGACTGTAGGCGTGCGGGGATTGTTTTGGACGAGACTTCTCGTCGGTCTCAAAAAACTATTTTCGTCGGCACGAATAGAATTAAAACTAGGGTCGTAGAGTCGGCAGACTGGTGAAGAAGCGGCTGCTGCTAACGACGATGACGATGCCGTTGCTGCTGCTGCTGCTGCTGCTGCTACTGCTGCTCGTATTACTACAGTTGTAGAGGAGGAAGGGCATCGTCTCGTCGCTGTATGTTCAAAGTACTCAGTGCTGGTGCTGCGGCGAAGACGGAAATTTCGGCGGCGGCAATAATAATAATAATAATAGTAATAATAATAAAAACAGTTGATAATGATATTGTTATTGTTTTATATATATATATATATATTCGACGTAAGCATGTGTTATGGGGGATAAAAATAGCCTGTTGATTGTTGTTGCGGCGGCGTAGGGGAGAAAGGGTCGGACGTAACGATTCGTAAAGCGGTGGTGCTACGGGTTGACGGTAAAATCGTTGAGTAGGTGACGGGGAGGGTGAGCGCTGCGTGGGTGTCGTAAGAGAGATTTGTTAACAGTCAATAGACGTGATAACGGATACGCGTGCTCGGTTGCTCGCTGCCGTCACCAACTTGACCGAACGCACGCCGCATCGGCAACGTTGCATTTCCGCCAACACTGATAACGTGCACAGACAGAATGTAGGATATTGTGATAATATGATAACGTATACGTAAACATTGGCGGACGTCGAGGCCGAAGAGATTACTGTTTATTAAGTGTATAAACGTATATTATTATGATTTCTCTCCGAGACTGATAAAAACGAAATTCCTAAATAAGAAAAAATTTCATAAACAAAAAAACCGTCGGAATTCCATCACCGCGCACGTCTTTTTTAATTGTTTTCGTTCTCGATGAAAAATGCATAATAACAATATAGTCGCATAACCGGACGCCAAAGTGCCCAGTTCTTCACTGTACGTGTACATCATATTTAAAGTATTAATATTATCGTGACCGTAGTATTGGAGACGTCGCTATACACTGAGTTTCTATTGCAGGTACGCAACGAAAATGGATGATCTAGGTGAGTTATTAATTATTACCGTAGTTATGTACATGTACCAAATAAGATTTAGTCGATGTCGTATCATTTTTGTATAATTACATAGACATATAAATAAAAAACGTAAAAATTGTATTTAAAATTTTAAGAATCTCGAGTGAAATTCGCAGTGCTAGGACTGCCGATCAATAAAATATTATAGGACAGAGTAATTTACACGTAGTGTACTAGTATATAAATCTAACAGCTATAGCAAGTACCTATAATAATGAATGATGACGAGGAGTATTATAACGGTGTGTACCCGTTTATTCGTGTGTGATCGAGCCATCGAGGATACTGCAAATTTAGTGCTTATTTTTTATCTTTTTTTTCACAGACTTGCAGTGTTGAAAAAAATAACACAGTTCCGTCGGTTTTAAATGAATCAAATGTATAAATCGTATTTGTATTAATCATGGGAAAAGGTGTTGGCTAAGCCTGACTTTCAAATAATTCTCCAAAAAACTTATCCGTTTTACGCGTATTATTTTTTTTAATGTAATATTCATATTGGTTTAGTTGATAATTATTTAAAAATTAGTATAGTTATCTATTGGTGATATTTGATTCAAACATGGGATAATACGTTTGTTTTTGATTTACTTATGAATAAATGATTACGAAAACTAACAAAAGTCGACCGTTTAGGGTCGAGGACAGGGGTCGGGAACCTGCGGCTCCTTAACATGCAATCTGCAGCTCTTTGGAAAATTCATCAATATATTATTGAGATTCATAAAATGTAAATTATATTATACTTACGTTATTATCTATAGTGTATAGTAACAACTATGACAAAAAAAAAGACTGTTTAAACCTATGCGGCCCTCTGGAAATTATGGTTTAGTAACTTTTTTTTTAAAATTGCTCTTTCCTACGAAAAGGTTCCCGACTCGGATCTGGAGGATTAATATAAGGATTAATTTAAAATATATGAAACAAATTTCATATAATTATTATTGGCTATTGCTGAACGTAACTTGAAAATATGTAAAAATATCAAAATAAAAAATAGATGGATACTTTTTTTTAACTTTATATACTCACTAAATTCTTTTGTGCACCATAAAACACTGCCTTCGTTTCAGTAATATAATTTTACTTTATTTTTTCTAAATAAAAAGTGTATTTTGATTTTCTTTTAAGGAAATATCCATTTTAATACTTAAAATTTGCGTAGTTAAAAATACAAATATTCCATCTGAAATTTATTATTTTATTATCCATGGTAAAAATCTAGTTTAAAATCAACTATGACAGATCGTTTAATTTTTTTTCTAGTTTTTTATTTTTATATTTAAAAATAATATAATGTTTCATGTTAGGTACTATCATCAGTGTTGAAAATTCAGAAAGCTTATCGCAATTCATAAAGTTTTAAACTGATAGCTGATTTGTTTGTATTTTCAATGTTATTTATAACAGCTTGAGTTAAGTACCCCATTATTTGGTCATTACTGTATCCTGCTCGACTTTTACTGATTATCTGAAAATATGAAATGTATATTGAAATATTTACGAAAATAAATTAGTCTTAGGTCAATAAAAATACTCAAAATGATAAATTATTATTTCACGTGTAATATATGAATATCCAATCTCGTAAATATTTGTATTTAAATAATTTATAAAAGTGATATATAAGGCTTTTTGTAAACTTTTTTATCTAAATTCTAGTAAATTAGAAGTATCCATATCATTTTAGAGTATCTAAAAAGTACCTAAAATTAAGTGTTCAGATTTTTGATTGTGCATAAATATTTTGATTATCATTTTCGAAAAAATTTCATGTACCTACTTTTAAACTATTTAAATTTATTCTGAAAATTCAAAAATGATGTATTATCTAGTGAGCGCTAATATTTTGTGAACATTTTAAGTATATTAATTTAAATTATCAGTTTTTTGAATTACAACAAAATAACTAACTCGATTTTGTCAAAAAGTAGTATTTTGTGTACATTCCTGTTTTATGTAATTTTACAAAATACTGAACATTTTTACTTTAAATCAAAAATACCAACCACATAAAATTTGTTGCTAAGATATACCCTTGAAATTAACAGTTGAAGCATTTTTACCACTCCAGAAGGCGATGGCATAAAACAAAATAGGTACACCATTGTAAAATGCATTCGTTCGTTACTCCGCCAAGAATTTAATATCTAACTATACTTTAATCTAAGGTTTTGACTTTTCATAAGTTATTTATAGATATAGGAAATTATTAATATTTTTTTATAAAATGTTGATTAAAAATTATTTGTTGGATTGAAATTCTTGAAAATTTAATACAAGATTTTACATAATTTGTTCTTATATCTGTATAAAATTATTAAAAACATTGGCATAATTTTATTTTATATAAACATGAAATACAGATTTTTACAAAATTCATCAAAATCATGAAAATGTACTAACAAGTATTTTTTAGTAAACAATTTATAGAATCTTCAATTTTTACAGCTTAGGTATGAAAATTAATAAAATGTTCTACGGAAGTAGTTCATTAAGTGGAACTAAAATATTTAAAAAATATACAAACACAATTATTTTTATATGATGTATTTATAGTTCATATTTGAACCAAATTACGTATTTAATAATGAATAATAACACTCATTATTTTTTTTATAATTTAAAAACATTATTCGTGTGGACTTAAAACTTTTACGTATATTATGAATTTAATTTTACACATTAACATTTTAAAAATATTACCTATTTACACTGTTTTATGGTAAATTTTATTGACTCAAACGTTAATAACTATAATTATATAATACGGTATAAATTATATTAATAATTATTATAATATTAATTATTAATAGTTAATGCGATATTTTTGGAAAAAAATTGATTAACCTACTGGAATGTCTGGAATATACTAATAATAAAGTAAATTATTTTAATTGGAATATAAAAAATAATGATATATAGAAGCACAATAGTTTTTGCTCATATAAAATTGTATTACGTGTGCAATAATGCATTTAAATTTATTAAATAGAATACTTCTATAGTATAACCCAGTCGATATTCACAGTACATAGTCATACAGAGTGGTATCTATTTGCTCATTTTTTTTTCTATTATTTTTTTAATTTTCCAGTAGGTAGTGTTTTTATTTTAAAATTGATTAAGACTGTTCTTAAATGATTTTATGAATATTTAGGCTAAACCGAGCATAATTGCTATGCATTTATCAATAATTTTTTTTTTTTTTTTGTTTTCATATTAAAATAATGATGATTTATTAACTTGTACCAAAGTGAACTAAATACGAGTTTTATATTTTGTTCAAACTTTCAATGACTTTTAATGTATAAAATTCCTCAAATATTTTATGACAATTATTTATGTAAGTAATTGATAATCTGCAGGATGGGTTTTTACATATTCTTGCCTAATTGTGGCTGCTTTAGGTGGAAATGAAAAAGTATGGTTCATCTTGAATTATCAGTTATACAAAAAATAAACTAGTAAAAATGCATTTTTTATATTATTTCACTTAAAATTGTTTAAAGAAAACGAAATACAATTTGGCAAGTAATAGATAAACATATGAACGTATTGAACACATACGTATATAGTGGAGAGAGTATAGAAGGTTGAATTTCTTAAGGTTATCATACCCATGAACTAGTACAGACTCATTTTAAGGTCAAATATTATGAATAAAAAAAAAAGTTGAAATCAAATAAATTTAAATAACATTTTAAAACGCTTTATAAGAATTGAGAAGCTAACTTATTTCAAATTGGTATATAAATATAAAATTTTTGATTATGTGTAAATTGAATACTGCTAAATCAATCTTAAATTCTTAAGGTATAGTTTTTTCAATTATTATGGTTAAATTAGGCATGATCTTTAATAATAATTACTTTACAATGTAAAATAAATGAAACTCAATTTGACAAGTAGAAAAACATAAATGTAATGAATAGTACTACACGTCCACACATATTATATTATTATTATAAAATAATACATATATTTATACATTGACTTATTTTTTTTTAAATATTATCATATTTGTAACTTATATTTTTTTTAAAGAATAAAATAAATTTTAAATTCATGTATGTGGTAAATATCAATTAAAAAAAAAAAAAAAAATTGTTTAAAGTGATGCGTGAGTGATGTTCAACAAGGGCGGCTTCTGTTATCAACTTTATGCGGGAATGATAAATTATATATTGTTATTATTTTAATTAATTAGCAGTCAATACCATAGTTTATTTTTTATTAAGTATAAATATTGTAGCATAAAACCACTTTAAATTTAAATTTACCACATGGCTTCGTATAATATTATTGATATAAAATAATTCCGTCTCGTACGTCGTATATATAAGTACTGACGGTGGTTTAACTTTTTATTTACCGTTCTCATACCGGCCTTCAGGATAGTAATACAGTATCTCCCATAAC